TTTTTTTTTTTATATTATCTCTGTTTTTATTTAGCAATATTATTAGGTCACTGTGTGTGCTTTTTCATCGTCTTCCTCATCCTTCTCTGTACTCTCTCTTTCTCTCTCAATCAATTATCTGTCATCTCAGGTGCTTAATTATGGTCTTTAATTTTTATTTCTTTTATTACTTGTGTTTATATTTGATGTGCACGCCATGTGTTTGCTTAATTTTGCATGTGAGTTTTTCGATTTTGTCTGTAGGGAATGGAGCTGGGTTGTGGAGGCGGGTTTGGCCCGGAGGCGGCGCCGGTGGGTGATTCGACCGGCTGCCCAGGGGACGACTTGTTTGTCGACGAGCTTCTCGATTTTTCAAATGGGTTTTCCGAAACAGAGGAGCCTCCGCCGCCGCCGGGGAATGAACCCGGGAACGGGGAAGCCGCCCTTGAGAAGCAAGAAACGCCGGCACCGCAGAACCGTGGTTTCGTCGCCGGCGACGGTTTCGGGTCACTCCATGAGAGCGAGCTCAGCGTCCAGGTAGATAATATAAAACCCTATTTCGAAATTTTCAATTTCGAAATCTGAAAACAGCAATTTTTATATCTTTTATTTCGAATTGGTATAATTTATTGGGTGAAATTAATTCTTTTTCACAGTGGGAGAGTTTGGAGAGTCTGGAATGGCTGTCACATTTCGTGGAGGACTCGTTGCCGGATTATTCGCTCGCCGGAAAATTCCACACGCAGCCGGCTGACCCGCCGGCCGCGTCGGAGTGCTTGACGACTCAGGTTCAGACCAAGGCCCGAACGAAGAGGGCCCGAACTGGGGTTCGGGTCTGGCCTGTTCTCTCCCCCTCTTCTGCCGAGCCGGACGCCTCGTCGAGCTCCTCGGCATTCTCCACCACCTCGTTTCCGCCGCCAAGCAAGAGGAAGACGAAGCCGGGCGGCGGAGCTGCGGCGGGGCAGAGGAGGTGCGTTCACTGCGGGGTCACCAAAACGCCGCAGTGGAGGGCCGGGCCGCTTGGCCCGAAGACTCTGTGCAACGCCTGCGGGGTGAGGTACAAGTCGGGCCGGCTGCTGCCGGAGTACAGGCCCGCCTGTAGCCCGAGTTTTTCGAGCGAGCAGCACTCGAACAACCACCGAAAGTGCTGGAGATGCGGCGGAAGAAGGAGGTGGAGACGGAGGGGGCGGGCCTGCCGCCGCCGGTTCAGAGTTTTTGAAGGGTTGGACTAGTTTTTAATTATTAGGTAGGAAAAGGGCCAAAAAGCAAAAAACAAAAAGTAGCTCAAATAGAGATTTCAAATTCGAATTAATCCGTGTAAGTGGATAGATTAGGATTAGGAGTGCAGTTAAAAGTAGGATTGAGTTTAGAAAACCGGACTGACGTGGAACCCGGTTTAGGTAAAGTGGACCCGGTTTGTTCAGTGTAAAGTAAACTATTTTCAAGGACCCATGGATTGGTGAGTTTGGTTATTAGGCAATGTAATTTAGGATTGTATTAGAATCGAATGTTTTCAAATTTCATTAGTTTTTTTTTTGTGTTTATGAATTTAAATATTATTTTTTATTTTAATTTAGGTTTATTTGCAAAATAAATTACAACATCTACTTTAATGCAACTAGTGTGGTACTCAATGCACGAACTAATTTTATTAAGGTAAGCAAGATTTGGATAATAATTGGATGGTTAGAATAAAGTAAAGCACATATATTGGAATAAAACAAATTGTAACTTATATATTATTAAACACATCTTTGTACACAATATTATTTGTTTGATCTTTTGGTACGTCTATCGCCACAAATTATATTAGGATTCTAGATGTGGTTAGATATATTAAATAACTATTTAGCAGGATATATATGATATGATTTATACTGGTTTTATGAAGATGACATAGACAAATATAACGGAGATTGTAAAACGTATTTCTTGATAATATATAGCCTTGTTATTTTAAAATTGTAAATTACTTAATTTAAGGCAAGAAGAAATTGTACAAGTGTATGCAATCAATTTCAAATTTATATTCTAAAAGATTAAACAAAACCCTGTTGTAAATATTAAAATGTGGACATTACCTAGATATAGGATTTGTAGGTATGGGCCAGGAGCCCATTAGGTATTTACTCATGTACATTGTATTCCCTTATATATAGGGCTCAAGTGAATGAATAAGATGATAACTTTACGGCGTATCTCTTCTCTCTCTTTCTCTTCTACTACTTTATCTCTTTGTCTATCTTGTCTATCTTACATATTGAAAATCTATATCACAACACGTTATCAACACGAGTACTCTACCATCTAAGCAAACGACGGTGGCGACATCAAGACGAACGGGTAATCAAGGTAACAATCAACAATAGATGTATGCCCTAGAAAAGAATCTTGTCTTTTCTGTCAATGTAACATTCAAGATCTATTCAATATCAATAATGATCTATTAGTTTCATCAATTTTAGTTATATTTATTTATCTCCAAAATAGTGAATTGATGATTTTTGTATGAATTTGGTATTATTGATTCGAATGATATAGATTGCACAACTTGGGAATTCACTGGTTACTGTGATCTTTATTTGCTCCTTAAATTCTATAAAGTACTTGTATTATTATCAATCGGTACGTGTTCTATTCCTTGGGCGGATTTCATTAAATCCCTTAAATTCTTATAGATTATGTGGGTTTAAGATTGATATATTGGTTTACCTGTTTATAAGTCTGAAACATTGTTTTCAGATATTGACTAGAATTCCAAACCTTGTCAGATATTGCCTCAATTTTACCTCCTCCTAGAATGCTTAACTCATCATCCAGCCACACTTGCAACTAATGCAAACAAATAATATAAATTATCTAGAAGATACATATTGATTCATGCATGTTGCACTATTATCTCTTTAAATGTCACTATGATTTATTGTATATCAAAATCTAAATTTGGCAGATTATTCATATTGGAATATTATTTATGTTATAGTGTTATGGATTCCCTTGCCTATATAATATTTATATGCTCAGTACTATTATATCATCATTATGAGATTGTTGGAAATATATTATATGTGAAATTGTTGCGAATATGAAATTGTTGCGTGAACAATTTTTGCTCTTCAACATTACTGCTCAATTACCTTAGATGTACTTTTGAAGTCTTAATCATTGTTCAGTATGAAAGTGTTTATATAAATTTCTAGATTAAGTACGTATATAAAAATCTGAAAGATGACATATTAGGTTATTTGTGTTATAAAATATGTTATCTATTGAGCATATATTGACTTAAAAAAAAATTATACATGATCTTGGATGAGATGCATATATGTGGGTGAAATTTGGTCATTATTGAACTATTATATGTTCGTCTAAAAATTATAGACTGAAGGATGGATGAAATAATCTGCAAGATTATAGTTTCACTGACATGATTTGAAAAGTTTGAAAAGTATTTTTGTCTCATGTTTTTATTGCTATAAAAATTCATGGAATATTATAAGTATGTCTATTGTATATGAGAGGACGATTATATACAAAAAGTGGTGAAAATATTGGATATATATTATTCATGCTACGTAGCTCAATTTATGATCATCTTTACAATATGGTTGGATGAGAAGATAGAATTGTACAATTATGAAAATGATGAAGTATTATTTAACGAATATCTATCTATCCAAATGTATAAGGTTCAATTGAACACTAGTAGTCCCAGAAGGACACTAATATTAAACATTGATGGATAAAATGATTAAAATAATGCGTCAGTTGTCTATAACATGTCAACCAATATTTCATTTATCGATAGCTTGTAAGTTGACGATGAAGTTTTTAGACACTCCCTGAAGGATCTTCTATAAGTCAACAATTATGTTTTTATATACTCCCTGAAGGATCAACACTGACTTAAGTATCTCCCATAAATTCATAGTGAAGTTTTGGTATACTCCCTGAAGGATCAACATCAATACAAGTATCAAAGTATTACACTATGAGTAAGTATTAATGACTAATTTTGAATTAAGATGCTATCGAATTTTTTTATAATGTGTTATGAACAGTTTGTATTCCCGAAGTAATACATGAGATTGAGAATAATGAAATCCAACCAAATGAATATTCATGGACACAATATATTAAGAGTAGTGATGTAAAAGTAGTTCATTGAGATTGTATTAGTGCCAGAAGCACATGTACAAAAATATAATTTGTCACATGAAATATATGATAGATAATTATCTTTTCTATAAGACTATATGTTTCCTTGATTTAACTGTCATTATTTGTATATGAGCATCTCTTGTTTGATATTTATCCTATAATCCTTCACGTTACTTGTTAAGATTTGAAAGTGGAAACACACGTAAGATATGTCTAGCAGACATTATACTCAAGATAAGGATTATTTTTTATGATGAATGAGGAAAAATATTATATAACTTACGTAATAATATCTCGCAAACTTCACCTGTTATACTCTTGAAGAGTTGTAAAATAAAAATGCACACATATATTATTATTTTGTCCATGAATCTGAATTCGCATGAAGCATATGTGGATTAATTTTAACATGTGACTTGTGTATGTTGTTTGGAACATATATGGTGAAGCTATCAAAATATGCAATTACGACATGAATTTAGTTTGAAAATTATAGCTGCATATTTTGTTGTGTTGTTTTATGCATTGAGTATGGACTTTATTCAAATTTATTGAGCCTAAATCCATTTGAATATCTTGAACTTTAGCTTAACTGACTAATGAACCAAATGAATGGTATGCAACTTGTATAGTTATTTTTTTTTTTTAATTTTGTCATAAATTACAGAGAAAATATCTTGTAGAATTTTATACCGACCTAGATTTGGTCATCCCAGAAAGATTTTTCCTGTTGAACAGTATTATAATTGCATATTATCTAGCAAGTATCTTTGAAAAATTGATCTAGTAGATAATCTCGTTGATTTTTGGATAAATTCATGATCTTTTGATTTTAGATCAGCTCTGCATATTCAATATACTCTTAATGACATTTTGTAACCAGAATGTTACCAAGATTGAACTATATTGTTGATAGCTACAATAATAAATTTATATGTAGTGCACGAAGCACATATTATTATTGATAGCTACAATACAAGGCTCACAACTAAAGTTCAATTATAGTGCCTGAAGCATATAGTGTTCACTTATAAATGAATTATTATACTTTGATGGCCAACTTATTTATTTGATAATTAGCATGAGCAGTTGGTTCATATTGGGCAATTATTTATGATAATTTTTCCCCAAAGGTGCGTGGAGTATCGAACATTTTCCATATGCGATTTATTGTTATTTTATTATGTAATATTTTATATCACCACCAATTCGTACCTTTTAGGGCCTATATTACGAACTAGGTATGCTATGAATTTTATACTTCGTCGAACTTTTAATACCTAGGTGCCATTATAGGAGATCAGTTTATTATGTGGTACGTTTTTTGCATAATATATGAAGATAATTTCGTGGCATTAGGGGGAGATATGAGCATAAGTTTATTAATGTCGTGAAAAATGTGAAATATGAATGTTTTCATTATTTGAAACCACGCAATAGAATTCATAGCCGTTGGTGGAGCCGTTGTGCCGTTCCGGGGAGGGATTCGACCCGATTGCTTGGCGATTTTCTCGCTGTGTGTCGGTGTGGCTTGTGTGCGCAGGGATATCACACTGGCCTCGTTTTTCGGGTGCCGTCGTCTCCACTTTTCTTCCAGTGGTGTTGGTAGGGGTGTTGCAGCGGTGGTGTGGTTGTTTTTTGTGCAGCTGGCCGGCGATTTGGGGTCAGGACTGGGGTCGTGGCACTCCTTTGTCGTTCGATTTGGGTGTTGTGGCCGTTGTGCAGGTCGCCTTCTCTGATTCCGGGGTTGAAGTTTCGAATCCGTTAGGCAACCGAGTGGTTTGGCAGTTTCGGGTCGGTGCTTCTGATTTCGGGATTCGTGGTTGGCTTGTGTCCGCTGGTTCGGTTAGGTTTGCAGCTTAGGAAGGGCTCGATTTTTTTCTCTGTTTTTTGGTGTTTAGTTTGTGTCTTTTTGGTATGTTGTTGTTTTCTAGTTCGTGTGTTGTTTAATTATGTTTTTGGTCTGGGCCGTTGGCCTTAGTGAATCCGAGTGTGCCTTTATTATCCTGTTGGGATCTACACTCGGGTATTACCCTGTTGGGGTTGTTATGTGTTGTATTACCCAGTTGGG